GGTACTCTCTCATTGGGGCGCACGTCCACGGCTTGAAGCGGCGGCGGCGCAGCGGGGGCGAGCAACTGCCCGGCGGCGGCGGCTCGCTCGAGGAAGGCGAGTCGCATGCGCCGCTCGAGGAGGTAGCCTGCCGCCTCGCCGAGCAGTAGTGCTCCGCCTACGCGACACCTCGGGGCGGTGGCACCGCGACCTCGGGAGACCTCGCCGAGCAGGAGCCGCCCCGCCCAGCAGGAGAGGCTCCGCTGGCCGGCCAAGCACAGACAGCTGCGGCAGCATGGCGCTCCCGATCGCCTGCACACCGAACCTCGACGGCTCTCAACTTGCGGGCCGTCACAGCTCTGCCCGCTCTGCCCGCGTCTCGCGTTGGTCGCGGAGTAGGCGGCGCGCGACTGCCACGGGATGGCCTGAAGGTGCCGAGGAGAAGGCTCATCATAGAGGGATCGGAGACTGCGGCGCGCGGCTGCCACGGGGTGGCCGAGTGGCGCAGGTAGAGAGAGACGAGGCACCGCATCAGCGCAACCACCACCACCAGGCCGGGGTGCCTTGGCTCGGGCGGGTGGATCCGGAAGATGAGCAGCAGCGCGGCCCAGCCCACAACCGCCGTGGCATTGAGCGCGAGGCCAAACAGCGCGCGCGCCCGCTGCTGGTCCGCCATGCGGCCCGTCCTCCGGCGAGCGACGGCCAACACGACTCCGGCGAGAGCGGTCGCCATCCCGGCTTCTCGGATGGCCGGGAATCCCACGGCAAGGGCTGTATACAGCGCGGACCAGACCACCTATGCAAGAGAAGAGAGAGACACGCGTCACTCAGTGGTGTGCGGCACAGGATGCACTCGGCGTCTCTTCAGCACGCCAGGAAGACAACGAGAGGCGAGTAGGCGGAGCGGAACGCATCAGCAGTGAAGCGTGCCTCGAGCGCGGGGTTTTTGATGGTAAGAGTCCACCGCTGCAGCCGTGCATCGTCTGTAGCTGGCCAGAATGCGGCTGCCGCGGCGAGCATCACCAACGCAGCAGCAGCGACGCTTGTTTTTCGGTTTCCAGCAGGTGTCTTTGGCTGCCTTGAGCGTGGCCAATCTATCAGCGTACCGCGCCTTCAGCATAGCGATCCGCGCCTTGAGCTCTTCCAGCTCACGATCTCGTCGGGAGAGCGTCCTCGTCCGTGTGGTGCGATCCGCCGCCGCGTGGTCGAGTGCAGCGATCAGGGCGAGGAGCGCTGCGAAGGGCGTGCACCTCGATCCTGCACCGTGTTTGTTATGACCCCCCCCAGTGAACACACCAGTGAGGGAGGGCGAGACGATCGAGGGGTCCCGTACCATGCGGAATCGACCCTATCCAGTGCTCAAGTGCTCAAGCTAGGAAGGCGAAACACAGTCCGACCAACGACTGGGTTGCAGACTGGGACACCAACGCGGTATGGGTGGACGCAGGACGGGCGATGACGGTCACACAGGAGCGACACACAGAACCACAAGACAAGACACTCAGCCAACGGGGCGGCTGCCACACATCCTGAGCGAACTTCCCTGTCACCCGCGGCCGGACTCCATCCGGCACGCGTCGCTGGGCGCTCAGAGCTGCGTCCCCTGCTCGCCACCCCGACGCCCAAGGCGCCCGAGCGAACGACAGGCGGCACGCGAAGACTGATTGCAATCCCGCCGACCGCCAGGCCGCGGGATGATGCGTGCGTGGTCTTGTAGTGGGTCTCGGAAGCATGTGGCCGCAGCCCAAAGCATGTGGCCGCACACACACTGCCGATTTTATATGCAGCCCACTTCTTCTCTTCCACCTGGTGGTGCGATGGGCTCCCTCCCGCGGGGAGATGTCACGCCCCCCACAGCAAATCGGTTTTTGCCCTTAAATAGTGCTGTTTTCGTTGGGCCGAATTTCGCTTGACTTGGTCGGTTTGAGCACTATCTTCAGCCAACGCCCACAGCAAATCGGTGAAAACCTGGAGTCACGCCACTGGTTCGCGACGCGCCACAAGAGCGTCTGCGACCCGGAGGCGCCGTATCAGTACCTGCAGAACGACATCTGGAAGGCCGATCGACTCGACCCTCGCTCTACCGCCTCACTTGGTGGCCACCACTGAACTTGGTCCTCCATGGAGTCTGAACCGGCCGCCATTATGCCGCAGCAGGACTGGGAGGTTGTCATGGTGGACGAGGCGGCACAAGAGGGTTTCTTCCACTACGAGGTTCGGCGAGGCGAGGAGGCCTATCGCTTGCCAGTCCTGCGGAATTGGAAGCTCGTCGGCTCTGCCTTCTACACAATGAATGTGCGAGAGCACCGCGTCACCCCGATTCAGGAGCTGTATGAGCACGAGGCATGGTTGCGCATGAGCGTGAAGTTGAAACCGGAGGACGTTCTCATCTGCTCGTACCCCAAGTCGGGGACGACACTGGTCGAGCAGATCGTGCTGCTTCTGCTCAACAGCGGCGATCACGAGGCCCTTGATCCCCTCTCCAAGAATGCGATTCGACCGACAAAAGCGACGTTTGGAAAGATCTGGCCCGAGGCGTGCCTAGTGCCTGATGGCTGCACCGAGCGGGCACCCTTCCGACCGATAGGCGAGCAGTTCAGGCCAGTGGAGCTCTCGCTCTTCGAGGCCATGCACAGCCCTCGCGTCATCAAGACGCACAACGCTCCACAGCATGTCGTTGGCTGCGATGCGAGCGGGCAGCTGGCAGAGTCTCGATACATCATCGTGTGCCGCAACCCCCTCGACACTTGCGTCTCTGCGTACTATCATGGCTGGAGCCCCGCTGAGAGCGGCGTGCCCTTTGATGCGTGGTCAGTCGCATGGCTCGCCGGGCTGCCAGCGCAAGGCGGCACGTGGTGGACGTATTATGAGCAATGGCGGCGAGCGGAGCAGCTCAGCACGAAGCGCGCCCAGTTCTTATGGGTGCAGTACGAGCACATCAAGGATCAGCCTGAGCGTGAGATTCGCCGTATCGCCGCCTTCCTCGGCATCGACGGCGACGACGCTCTCATCGCGCGCGTTGTGCATGGTAGCGACTTTACCGTCATGAAGCGCAGCGCAAAGGAGGCCGCCAAGGCCCGCCACCGGTTGGACTCGGACGCACACATGCGCAAGGGGATCGTGGGCGATCACATCAACCACTTTGAGCCCGAGCGCCGCCGCCGCTTCATCTCTGCCCTGCAAGGCGGCGGCAACCCCCACGCACCATTCACGGATGCAGTCTCGCTATCTTTTAACTCTCCAGCAGAGCAGGTCTCGCCCCAGCCATTCGCCATCCTTGATTTCATGGCAACGCTGCTGCTACCCGCCACTATGAACGCGGCAAACACGTGTATCATCCCGATTGCCGAGGCTGTCGTCCGGTCCCGACGAATGAGTGCCGATGCAACAAGGACGGAGGTGCTGCACGCATCGGCGCTAGAGATCGCCGTTAGCACGGCTGGAATTTTGCTGTCCACGCTAGCCTACTTCGCTATGCCATCGCGGTGGCACGAGGGGCGCACCATCTACCTGTTTGCCAGCGGCTGCTTCACCGTCGGCACCGGCGCCTACATGACGGCCGTGTTGACAGACACGCCCAGGTGGGCGACACTCTTGTGTCGCGTCCTGGCGCTGAGCGGCTCCGGTATCAAGTACACCATCAAGGCGCGCTTTCGCAGAGCCGGCGCACATGCACACGCACATGCATAAATCTACAGATGCATTAAATCTACACATGCACATGCATTAAATCTACACATGCACATGCATTTATCTACACATGCACACGTACCAAGCATGCGCCCCGGCTGATGTACGTGCACATGCCGAACACAGGTGCGCATATCCCAGTCGCTTTTTGCACAGAAGCGGTCGTTCCTCATGCTCTGTGTCACGACGTCGGCTCTTGTTGGCATGGCCGCGGGCCCCTTCATCGTCTCCGCCGTGCTGGCCATCTTCCGCGCTGCCCACACACCACAGGACTCCAAAGCACCCGTCGTGGTCTCCATCTGCGTGGTTTTCGGCTTATTTGCCGTCGTTGCTGTGGTGTTGGGCATTGCTCCCAATGACAAGCCGTTCTACGGCGGAGAGAACGCTGTGCCGCCGCCCTCGGTGCCACCTGCCGCCGACGCTACCGCGCCCGTGGGCGTCAACAAGGCGAAAGCTTCGACGGTACTTCTCATCGACGCCAAGCCTACCGTGCTCTCCACCGTAATTGTGCAAATCACCTGCCTCCTCTACAGCACTTCCCGGCAGGTGGTGCGCTTCAGCTACGAGTCGGCGATGGTTGTGGTGTACGAGGACCGTTTCAAAATGACCACCAGCGCTGCGGGCATGCTCGCTTCGGGACTCGCGGCCACCTCCCTGCTCTCCGTCCTTATCTTCAAGCTGATCAAGAGCCTCAATGCGGGCGCCATCCACACCGGCGTTGTCCTCGCGAGCTTCCTGTCGTTGGTTCCCGGCCTTCTGCTCATGTATATGGGCCACGTCTTCGCTTTCACCATCTTGACGGCAATCTGCGTCTATCCATCAGTGGTGCTTGGCGCAGCGCTCGCCAATTCGCACATTGTAAACTACCAGCAGAGAGGCCACCCGATCCTAAACCTTGAAGCCATGATGCTGCAGCAGGAAATCTTCCAGTCGGCCGTCGGCCCCGCAGTTGGCCTCTATTTTGGGCGCACGGTCCTTGGTGACCCCGTGAGCACATTTCAGCTCGGCCTAATATACTCTTGCATCGCGACCTCGCAGATTTTCATCGTACTTTTAGGCTGGAACCCAGACTTTGCCGTGCGATCCTTTCAGGTCGTCTTTGGGAAGCCCCCCTCAGAGCATAAGCGGCGGTCAGATCTCACACTAGCGAGTGGAGCTTACAACATGTGTTAGTTGGGTACGGTACTTATATGTCGGGACAGGTGAGATGCAGCTTGAACCGCACACATGTACAGACAGTGTAGACGACCGGGCCACTCACTTGGCGGATCTTGGCTCCCTGGCTCAAGCGTCAAGGTACATCGCGTCGCTCGTAGAATTTAATAATCATCTGTGCCAGCAAGATACTTTCTTTGGGGAGGTGACCTGTGTTGACTAAGTTACTGTATGAGGTGAGACGTGGGATGTTGGACAGGAGCGGAGTGATAAAGCCCCGTAGTGGGACAGATCGTGGGCGGGTTCGAGGGCGACGCACGAGGTTGCCATGGACCATGCGGCATGGAATATGGAAATTATTCACGGCCGACATTGTAGCTAATCCCGACTCGGACAAAATAGTCCCGTCGCGGGTCCTGACTCGGACGAAAAAAGCATCCCACCCACCAAGGACACGCAAGACAAAGCGGAGGCCGTAGAGCCGGCTTCCTTCGGAGTCAGAGACTGGCGCACTTGCGCACTTTCGTTCGAATTCAAACCAACAAGCGAATCAACTCGCTAATGACAAAATCGACACCGTGTTCACAAGAGATGTTCCTTACCGCACTCTATCTTCCTTGTTCACAAGAGAAAGCGAGCGCACAGGGGAAAACACACGTGTCTCACATTCGGATAAGAGATCCGAATGTAACGAATGATGGTTGCTGCCTCAATGCCCCCCCGACTCGGAGAGAGTCTAGGAGAGGCGGCTACCATGGCCCAAATTGGCCAAACGTGGATGCATGCTGGGATATGCTGGATCATGCGCTCGAGGTGCAGCGAGCGGAGATCGGAAGGTGGTAGAAGGTCGCGACACGATGCATCAATATCGCCCCACATGTAAGGGGCGGCGCAGCGAAAACGTGATCACTCGTCGATGTTAAAGGTGACCTTCTTGCCGTTGGTGGAGCCCTTGTTTGGATCGGGGTCGACCGATTTCGGAATGTCGTCCGTGTCACCCTGTGGCCTGTCGTGCACTTCGGTCCCCGACGCGTCTTCAGGATGGAGCTTAGCGGCGATGGTATTGAGCACCGTCGCCCGGTGCTTCTCGAACACCTGGCGCCCGAGGATCTTCGTGAAGAGGTCGGCGGGGTTCTCGGCGGTCGGCACGTAGTTGACCTCAACGACGCCTCCACCCCGTAGCTCGCGAGGTGGAGCACTACTGAGAGGAGGGGCGGAGAGGGGCTCTACCGCCGTGCGCGCAGATCGACTGGATTCGCGGCCTCCCTTACTTACCCTGTTCGCCTGCACGCGCGCGTGATCATTCGGCTAACTCCAACGACTAGTGAAGCCATACCCTCCCAAACCCGCATCTCCTCCGTCATTCATCACCCAATGATAATCATATCGGACCCCACCGACCCCGAGATTTCTTCAGCTTACGTCACTGACCTCGCGACAGACGGCAGCGCCGAACTAGACCCAAACGCCCTCCCAACACCCTCCTCCGCTACTGACACTATCTCTCTCCTCGCCATCCCGCCCCACCTCACTCAAACGCTGCGCTGCGCTGACAGGCCTGAGCCTACACGCCTACACACCACGCGCACACGTATCGCAGTCCCGTTATCAGCACTAATTCACTGTCGCTATCTTAGGAACGTAGCAGCAACCCACACCTCCACTTCCGCCGATCTCTCTCGCGTACTTCCTCCATGCCTTCACCATCGCTTATCCCGACACTTCTCTCCACCTGCCACCCTCCCCACCGCCACCGCCCTTGCCGCCGCCCTCTCCGCCCCCCCCAACACCGACGTCACGATCTCCGCCATCCCCTCCCCTTGCGAGCCCGCCACCAAACCCGTCGAGAGGCCACGTCACGCCGGTGTCCCCTTTTGAACGCTGCAGTCTGTGAGAGATGGACATGACACATGGAGAGGGGTGGGCAGTGGCGGGGGACTGAGTTCATGACGGAAGCGCGGCCCGTGCTGCGCACGCCGGGGTTTTTCTTGCGGAGGGAGTGCGTTGTGTTCTTGTTGTGTATACACACACACACACACACACACACACACACACACACACACACACACACACACACACACACACACACACACACACACACACACACACACACACACACACACACACACACACACACACACACACACACACATCTTTACCCCTCGAGCGCCCCGATCGCCTCCGTCACCGCGGCCACGAGCCGCGACGCCTCCCCCTCGCTGCGCGGCCCGTCCCTCCTCCACCTCGCCGCGTCGTGGTGCCTCGCCGCGTTCGCCCAGATGCGCAGCGAGTGCAGCTGGCTCCGCAGATCGGTAGGCAGGCCGCACTCGCGGTGCCAATAGTTGATGACCTCCTCGAAGCCGTCGGGCGCCGCCGCAGAGCGCGCGGCGTAAATAGCGTGGAGGCGCGGCATCAGCGTGTTGAAGGCGAGCAGCATGTTGCCCTGGATGCGCGCCTGCGCGTGACCGCCCGTGCGCATGCCGCGCACCTGCACCGAGAGCGGCGAAGGCTCGTACCCGGTGGCACGGGCGGCTGCCGCAGCGGCCTCGTCTCCAAAGGCCGGCTCAGCGTCTTCCACCCCCGCCCCGCCCTGCGCGCCAGACAGCAGCGCCGGAGCGTCAGCAGCGCCTCGGGCAGCGTGGGCCGCTTGCGCAAGCTGTTGTGGCAGAGGCTCTTCTGCCCGTCCCCCGCCTGCGCGAGGTCCTTTACTGCGCGCGCCGCGTCGACTGGCCAGCCCGCAGCCACGTCGGCGAGCTGGGACGCGTCGATGTCGGTCCAGTCCTCCTCGAACTCCTCCTCGCACCGGTCGGTGAGCTGCACCTCGGACCGGTTGGTGAGGCAGACGAGGAGGGGATGCCAATAGCGTAGCCGTCCGTCTTGCTCGAGTACTCGCCCCCCTTGGAGATGGAGGGGCAGAGGTAGCCAGTGGACATGTAGAGGGCGGTCGAGCGGCAGCGGACAGAAGCGTCGGGACGCTGGTCCTTGGCGAACCCCGTGTCGGCGAGGACGGCGGTCAGCTCCAGCAGGATGTTGTCCGGCTTGACGTCGCGGTGCACGATGCCCTTCGAGTGCGTCAAGGTTTCTAACACGACGCGATCTTTGTCAAGCGCAACAACTTCAACCTGCTGCTCCACGAGAACACAAATGTCAGACACCCAGGGAAGGCGATCAAAAACCTACTCCCACTTCCGCGCAAGCCCACCGCACTCTCCGCACTTCCGCGCATGCCCACGCACTTCTGGAACGCACCGCACGACAGCACAGTGACAGTCAGACACGCAACACGGGGTCCCAGGGAAGGCGAGCAAGAACCTTCTCGCGTGCCAGACGCCAAAAAGACGACGCAAATCCATTCACAGTCCTTGGCGACGGCGGCTTCAGAAGCGGCTTCAGAAGAGAGCTTCTTTACTTATAAAATTCTTTATTTTCTCTTTGTGGTTGGCTCTGGCGGGCGCGCTGCGGTCGCACGCCTCCCAAGTCATATGCCACGGCGTGCAATGTAGATTCAGCACACGCGCCTCTCCTCGCGAACACTCATCCAATGAATTGTCATCCCCCATGTGCCATGAGTGCGAGATAGGGCTAGCGGCTGGCCGCTAGCTAGCCTCTGAGGAGGGCGTCCATAGACACCTCACATGACCCCACACACGGTCTTGTCCGGCCTTGCGGCCGGCTAGATTGCTAGAGGCGGAGCAAGCCTGCTCTAGTCTCACATGTTGGCCCCTGTCGCCTGTCTGTGTTGTTGTGCTGTTGTTTGTTCCTTGGCACCTTGGAGTGCTGGGGGGGCGACAGGGGGGACTGGCCCTGAGTGATGTGTACGCCTACTCAGGGTGTGTGGCAGCCCGCTGGCTGTGAGTCTTGTGAGCTTGTTTGTGTCTGTGTGTCGCTCGTGCGTGTCGTCATCATCTGTCCCGCGTCCACCCATACCGCGTTGGTGTCCAGTCCGAGCCTGACTGTTCTTCGCCTTTCTATCAATCAATCAAATGGCTCTACTAACTCATGCGGCCGGCGAGGCGGAACAGCCTGCTCTAGCCTCACCGTTACGTGCCTGGTCGCCTTGTTGTTGTTGTTGTTGTTGTTTTGTTGCTCGTGCTCGTGTATCGCGCGCGTTGAGCTCTTGGTGCGAACTGCGATGGTGCCTTTTGGCGCCTGCTTGGCGCTTGGGCGCTGGAGGGGGCCCGGGGGGGGCGACCACAGGGACGCGGCCCCGAGTGATGTAGTGCCGTACACGCATCACTCGGCGGGATGCGGTGTGGCAGCCAGCTCGCAGCTGGGGCTGAGAGTGTCTTGTGTGTTCAACTATCTACTTGTGAGTGTTTCTCTGTGTCTGTGGGTCGCGCTCTCCAGCGCGTGCCGTCATCTCCTGTCTCGCGTCCGCACACCCACACTGGGAAGCGCCGGTGTCCACATAACCCATCTTGCGTCCGGAATCGATGTCTAGATACACATGAATGTTTTCTTTCGCGGCACGGGGGTTCACACGGGTCGGCGTCTGCGCGCAACCGCCGCCTCTAGTTGATCCACCACCACTCTTGCCCCACGCCGGCCTCCCGCCACGCCGCGCACGCGGCCGTCTTGAGGTCGACCTCGCTGGTCGTCCGCCCTCCGTCGCCAATGACGCCGTGCGCATAGTGGGCCGGCCAGCCCGGCTCATCGTCGACCGCACGCCAGCCCTCGCCGGCGGGGAAGCCCGCGTGCTCCGCAAAGGAGAGCCACTGCCGGAGGAGCGCTCGACCGAGCGCCACGTCCGCCGGCGCTGGGCGGTAGGGGCCGCACCGGCTCCCGGGCCAGTACGACACGTCTGGGTCCCAGCCCCAGGCGCTCACCGCCGCCGCGGTGGGCGCGCCGACCGACATGGCGGCGATGAAGTCGAAGAGGTGGAAGGCGTAGATGGAGGGCGTGTGGCAGTCCTCGAGGAAGAGCGGGTGGTGCGGCCGCGCCCGGACGAGGGAGAGGAAGACGGCGGCGGTGCCGCTCCTCCGCCGCGCGGCGCCCGCCTCAACTGCGAGCGCGAGCGAGCCGCAAGTCGCGCCCGTGTCCGCAGTCAGCGCGTAAGCTGGCGCGGCGGGCAGGGTCTCGTTCTCGCCGCCGACACCCGCGTAGATCGAGTAGAGCCGCGCTGCCGCCGCGCCGAAGCCGGGCGTCAGCTTGGCCTCGATGTAGGCGGCCGCGTCGGCGCGGCTGCGCAGCGCGGCGAGGGCGGGGTCGGGCTGCCAGTCGAGCTCGCCCTCGAGCATCTGCAGCAACAGCGGCGCCGAGTAGCCCTCGCGCGCCGCCTCCAAGCTGCCTCGCGTGATGGTGACGCCGTCGACGTACGGCAGAGCAGACCACTCGAGTCCGCCTGCGGGCGGGATATGGGGAGATATGGGGAGATATGGGGAGATGTGGGGAGATGTGGGGAGATGTGGGGAGATGTGGGGAGATGTGGGGAGATGTGGGGAGATGTGGGGAGATGTGGGGAGATGTGGGGAGATATGCCGGTGAGCAGCCTGCGGGCGGGGCCGGCTCCGAGGCGAGGCTGCGGCCGAAGGAGAAGTAGTCGTACGACGGCTCCAGAGCGCCTTGGAGCTCCGCCACGCTCGCCTTGCGCAGGCAGGCCAGGGTCGCCGCGCCGCGCGAAAGCTTTGCGCACGGCGTGTGGCGGAGCCAGCGCTGCTCGTCCTGCCGCAGCTTGTCTCTGGCCGAGAGGGAGATGTTTGGCGAGGCGCTCAGCGAGATGGCGGCCTACGTACTGAATACGCCAATGAGGGCAGGAAGGCGGCATTGTACAGTCGGAATACGTGTCCACTCGAGCGCTGGTTGGATTAGAATACGTATTCCGCTTCTAGGGATGGCGGCGTGGAAGAGGCCGCGGCTCGCCGGCGCGGCGAGGTGGGCGAGGATGGAGGTGCCGCCAGAGGACTGGCCGAGGAGCGTCACCTTGGCCGCGTCGCCGCCGAAGGCGGCGGCGTTCTTCGCGACCCACCGCATCGCCAGCTGCTGGTCGAGGATGCCGTAATTGCCGCTCACTCCGCGAGGGTCGGCCGAAGCGAGCTCCTCCAGCGCGGCAAAGCCGAGCGCGCCGAGGCGGTAGTTCATCGCGACCAGCATCGCCCGCCCGCCGCTGCCGCTGACCAGGTTCTCGATCGCGCCGTACGAGGCGACGGACCCCTCGACAAGAGAGCCGCCGTACAGCCAGACAAGGACGCTGAGCCGGGCGGAGGCGTTGCCGAGCGCGGCGACGGGAGTGAAGACGTTGAGCGTCAGGCACTGCTCGGAGACGGCCGGAGGGCCGTACGGCGGTTTCATGCCAGGGCAGCCCGGTCCGTCGGCCAAGGCATCCAGTACGCCGTGCCAGCAGGCGGCGGGCGTCGGAGGCAGGAAGCGGCCAGCTTCGCCGAAGGGAATGCCGCGAAAGGCGGCGACGCCACCCGCCTGCGTCCGCCCCTGCACGACACCGCAGCTGGTGCGAGCAATGACGGCAGGGCTCTCCTTCTCGACAGTCTCCTTCTCGACAGTCAGGACAGCGGAGCGGGCGCTGGCGCACCACGCGCATGCGAGGAGGAGGAGCAGACTCAGAACAACCAAGCCGCAATGGCGGTGAGGGGTCGTCTTGCCGTGTGGCAACTGGCCGTCATTCAACCGTTCAGCGAGCAGTGGCCGCGTGTGCATGCGTCAGACACGCTGCAGATCTGAGTCGGGTGACGCTCGTGACGTGAACAACGAGAACAGTTCACTTGGCCACCGGTGGGGGTACGACACGCGATCTGTCGTGGGATCGCTTGTCATGACTCATCAGAGGTGGGAGAAGCCGCGAGAGCAAGGGATCGTGTGTGTGTGTGTGTGTGTGTGTGTGTGTGCAAGGGATCGGCAGGCGGCGGCGTCGTCGCAGAACGAGGCAGAGGAGAGTTACGAGACAGAGGGATGTGGGACAGAGGATGACGACACGTCGAGACGACACGCGCGAGCGACACACAGACACACAATCAATCGGCGAGAGACTGCGAAGAGAGATAGGAAGAGGCAGACGCCCAAGGGTGGGCGACGGCTAGCGCACCACACCCCTCTCCTTAAAATCCCTGTGTGGTCTTACGGCAATTTCTGTTTTCTTTGTTGTAAAAATCATGAAGGTTTGTTGTAAAATTCTCTAAATTGTTTCTCCCCAAGTTCAGGATATAAGCTAGCCCGATGCTGAGCATCCGGCCCGCTGGGTGCGCTTCATAGCTCCCCGAGGGCCCAACTTCATAATCGTGCTTTTTGGGTTGGGTTGGGTTGTTGGCCCGGGTTGGGTTGTTCCGCGTGAGGTTGGGTCGTCGGCGCGAATGGTGAGGTCTCGACCGCCGCCGCTCACGCCAGCGGACGGCCACCATCGGTGTTTTTGGCTTCGCCACCGTCCAAGGCGTGCGCCATGCGCTCGCCGGCATCGAGCGAGCAACGTGATCGACCGAGCGGCTTGCTGTGTGGACGCCTTCTTGTGGCTCTCGTCGAGAGCGTTTTGCGTCCCGGCGGGTGGGAGAATATGTCGTCTGATGTGTCACTGTGTACGTCACATCGGTCTTGATAACAAGCACGGTCGATCCGTCGAAGCGATACACTCGTTCCTATCACGCTGGAAGGCTGGCACGGAGCTCTGTGCCGGCACACAGAAGAGCCGTGCGGCAAGAGAAGAGCTCGATGGGGAGCGAGAACCGTCAGATTTTCAGGTGTAACCTGAAGTCCGTCGCGATGCACTCAATCCCTCCCGAGCGAAAGCCTGTGGCTCTCTCGAACTCGTCGATATATTGCGGATAAACTGCTCTTCCCGCATACTTTGCAGAGTCAGAGGCACCCAAAGGCTGCGAGTGCTCGACGAGTCTTGCGAGCTGCGCGGTCAAACCTGGCGGGAACTGACCGCATCACGGCGGACTTCCAAGACCTGGCGTGAGCACCTCTGACTGTGTTTGTCGAGCTTATCTGTCTGCTTGGGCAACCCCTCGTGGGAGTAGACCGGTAGCGAGATTGCTTG